TTATTGATGAGCAATGTAGAACAAAGCTTGTAGGCTGAGGAGATGCAGTTTCTGGGATAAATATTCAAGATAACTTAAAAAGCCAAAGAAATCTTCTTCTATGTCTTTTTCTTCTGCATTCACCCTTAAAAAGACAGATGGCTTGTTGTTTTTACAGCTAGGTTGTGATACCTTCACTTTTTTGCCCACCACATTGGATTTCGTGAAATCCCTAATAAGTTTTTGTTGTGTGACTCTGTTTAGGGGCAGTAGATCTATTCTTTTTCATCTTAAAATGGAGCCCGAGAATCCACAGGGGGATGATACATTTTGAAGCGATTGCCCAGAAAAAAGCTAATTATCCTTTAACATTCTGCTTTATAAAACACTTCTTTTGATGTATAAGCATTGTCTGCCAGATGTCCATGTCTTAGTAAATACATGGAGGTGAATGTGTTACCATGTTATAGGAGATCACATGTGAATAAGAGAGGATGCTATATCTTCAGTACAAAGGTGAAGACCTGAAAACGATTTATCACAAACATTAAAAAGAGACAGTCATCATTTAGTGGCTACATTATGAAAGATAGAAAATGAAACATAGACAAATTTATGGAAAGAGCTGGAGCAAGATGATATGCTTTGAAAAGCACATGATAAAGTGTGAGCAGTTACTTACTTGGAGACCACATGTTGTGGAGAGGCATGATCATCCATGCCAGTTAGCAAGGTATTTGATAAAGATGTGCTGCTAAAAAACAGAAGTTATTTAATAGTAAGTGATTACAGTGACTGGTTTTTAATTAAAACACCATAGGTGTCAACATTTAGGACTTATAGAATTTAAGTTCATACTGAATATAATCACTAACAATCTGAGAAGAATGCATCTAAAAGTCCATGAAGTCTGAGAACTGGCAAAGAATCAAGTCTTTTTGGCAAGTAAAGCTTGAGTGACAGACTGCAAAGGACTTTCTAGTGACAGGGATAAGGCAGAACAAGTTTTAGTCTAATCTCTTTGAAAATCTGGTGGAATAAACAGCATCTTAGAATTACAGCAACAGTTTTTAAAATTATTATTCACATTTGGTGGTTATAATGATAAACACTGTCATTTAGGGTGTTAGAGTTTAAATAATTTAGATGGTTTCAGCTAAAAATTATTGATAACAAGTAGAAGCAGCAGAGCAGTTTTAGTTTGTATAGATGTATTGTTACATATCACTACCTTCTTCACCAGGTGTTTATTGGACTAAAGATTCTGGCAGCTCATGATCAGCAGTACAAGGGACCAAAGGATATAGAATCTGAAGAACAAATGGTGAGATTTGTTTGTTTGTAACCGATATCTTCTTCTTCTTCTTCAGCATTCCGAGCTTTTGAGGTTCATTGCTGCAGATATCACCTGGCTCCATTCATCTCTCTGGTTGGCCTTCTCTTTCCAGTTGGTGACACCGAGTGTTTGCAAGTCTGTCTCAATATTATCTCTCCATTGTCTTCTTGGTCTGCTTCGTGGTCTACGACCATTTATCTCTCTCATGTATACAGTTTTTACTTCTCTGTCATCTGACATTCTTTCAATATTCCCCAACCATTTCAGTCTATTAGCTCTCATGATGCCAGTGATCAGTGGTGATTTAAACAGATTATGAGTTTCATTATTGCTTCTCACTTTTATTATCGCTGTTTGAATCTTTTATGGGTCCAAAGATTCGTCGTAAAAGAATATCTGATGCATATAAATAAGTTTTTATAAGACCAGTTATCAGTTACTGAGTTTAGGTATCTGGGAATAACATTTACCGAAGATGGCATATTGGATGAAGAAATTAACATCCGATGCAGTTAAGCAAATCAAGTATTTGAACAGCTAACCACTCTCTAACTATAATGCAATCCAAATAAGCACAAATACAAATCCCATACAACGCATATTCATTCCCATTATGTCCTACAAGTGCCAGATATAATCACTCACACACACACACAAAAAGGAATTAAAAACCTATCCATAGATGTTTAGAAAGGCTGCAAGAGTGACCAGAAGAGATTAAAGCAGGACTGAAGTCATAAGACAAAAAGTCGGCTTGTAACTAATTCTAAATAATGTACAAAGACAGCTGATAAAATTGCTTGCTCACTTGAAGAAAGCCTTACAACACCATGCCATTCAAGGCCTTATGGTCTTATGAAGATGATTTTAAAAATGCACAATGAACAAGGCATACATCAGAATAGGAAAGCAACTGGTAGACCAAAGATAATATCAGAGAAGCTATACAGCAGCACTGTGTGTCTGTGGTTGAGGCGGCCAAAAGAGCAAAAATCAAAACGTATGTCCCTCAACACCCGAAGAGGTATAAATAATAATAATTTAAAAAAAAGGGTGTTAAAAAAAAACCATCCATGCTTTGGGACAAATTGGCAATATGGTCCTAGACCATTTCTTTTTTTATAGACCAGTGTCAAGAGGCAAAAGAAGTGCTTGGGGCTTCTTAGCAAAAGTTAATGGTCGACGTTTAGTGCAGGAGAGCCTAGCATATGATACCACAACATCCAGCTTAAGAATGGAGGTGGAGGTGGCTTGCATAAATTACCACCAAAGCAAATTAGTTATCATTATGTAATCAGTTGCGAGTTCAATATCACAACATAATTTAATCTACTTATATGTATAATAATTTTTTTCAAAACAGCAAACAGTAACACTGTGTTTATTTTTTCACTTCCTGAACAGCTGTTGATAACTATTTGTGGTCTATATTTTAATTTCACAGGCCCAGTACTTGGAGTCACGATTACTTGGCGTGCTGGCATTCTTTGACTCTCAGCTCATGAATAGCAACATCACTTTGGAAGACAAAGAACTGGTATGTGCACTCCCAGTTTGCTATAATGAGTTGAGCTGCTAGTTTTGGTGAACTGGTCTTACCTGTGTATTACTTGACACTTGTTAGGGAAAAAAATTCCAATGATTTTAGTGAAGACTTTAAAGATTAGTAATTAAAAATTAGATAATAATTAAACAATTAACCCTGATGAAAATAGAAGAAGTTCATTTTAAAATTTGAAGTTATTGTGAGCCTTCGGTGATTCTTCTTCTTCTTCTTCTTCACTTCCTCTTTTACCGCTGTGGGTGTCGAGGGAGATATAAGGTTCTGTTTCTAGCTCTTCTGGCTGCCTCGACCATAGGCACATCGTGCTGTTGTAGAGTTTCTCTGATGTTATCCTTCCATCTTGTTCTTGGTCTACCCCGTGCTCTACGTCCTTCTTCTCTTCCCATGTATGCTTTGTATGGTATGGTGTCACAAGGCATTCTCTCTGAGTGGGCAAACCATTTCACTTGCTGTCTTTGTATGTAATCCAGAATTGGTTCTGTGCCGACTTGTTCTCTTATGATCTCATTTCTGATCTTATCTCTTATGGTCACTCCTACAGCCCTTCTCAGACATCTCATTTCCGTGGTTACTAATTTTCTTTTATGGTTTGTTGTGAGTGACCATGTCTGGCACTGGTAGCACAGAGTTGGAATAAATATGCTTTGAATAAGATGTCTCTTTGTGCTGACTGGGATTGTCTTATGCTGTAAGAGGGGGGCTAGCTGTCCCAATACTTGGTTTGCTTTACTGCATCTAATGTCAATTTCTTTATCCAATTTCCCATCTTCGGTAAATGTAGTTCCCAGATATTTAAACTCAGATGCCTGTTTAATGCCTTTGTATTCTATTGTTATGTTTAGATCTGTCTTCTTTTTTCCTATTGACATTACTTCTGTCTTTTCAGTGTTGATTTTCATATTATTTGTTTTACATTCTTCATTCATGGATGTTAGATGTTGTTGCAATTTCATGGCTGTATCTGCTATCAAGGCCTGGTCATCTGCAAAGAGTAATTCGTTGATCTTACCAAGATCTTCATTCATGGGCTTGGCATTCTTGCATATACTGACGATGTAGGTGATAAACAGCAGTGGTGATAAGACACACCCCTGTCTTACTCCAGATGTCACTGTGAAAGGATGAGATGTTCCCTGATTTATTCTAACTACACTTCTACAATCAGTTGCGACAGGCCTAGCAAGCCGGCAATGGATTTTTTACCGCTACAAAAATCAAAATGAGATATAAACGGACTCCGGTGATTAGACGAACAATATATTGAAAGTCCTTGTGATGTTTAGTTTAGTAGAATTAATTCAGTTTTTTTGGGCTACATTGTTGTTGTTGTAACTCTGTAGTAATGCGCCTGACAAAATACAGCGAAATATGCCTGGCAATAAAATGTGCGATGTATTGTTTGTATCCACATTATTTAAATTCATTACAGGAAAACATTGCTTTGGAGATTAATAATTCACTGTGGATATCTCCATGTGGATTCTTGTAGAGATGAAGTATATAAATCCGCCACCCCCTAACAAACATGTAAAATATAACTATTTCAGAATTAGCTGAAATGTGATGTGATGGGTTGAAAGGTGCAGATTATGCAGCCTGGCTGTAATCAACAATGTACCAGCTGCCCTGTTAAGGGTGAACACATAAGAAGAAGAAGAAGAAGAAAAAGACTAGATAATTTACTTTTTTTTCTAGCTAAGTTATTTAGAACTAAGTGATAAAAAAGCTACATATTTCATAAAAGTGACATTTCATTTTCTGTACAAGTATTCACACATAGTTAATAAATAGATTAGGATAAAAAATATTTGCATATTCTTTACTGGACATCACAAAACCAACCCCAATTGACTTTTTTGTGTTTTTTTACAAGGCACTGTTGTGTTTAGTAGTTTGCCATTGCTTTTTTTTGGGGAATGGTCAACACTCTTATTACCATTATTGAAATAAATGCAAAGTGGTCACCTACCAAATCGCTTACAGCTTACTAAATCGAACACTCATGTGTGGGATTATGGAACTGTGCTCATAGCCCCTGAGCGACAGACATTGATAATAAATACAAGAGATTATGTTCACACAGTACATAAAATACATGTAAATTAAATACATATTTTGCAGGCTCTGAAAAGTGTGATCTCAATTATCAGTCTGATGGGGTCTAAACACATCTGCAGCATCCGGTACAAAGCCATGAATACACTCAGGTATGTATCTATTAAAAAAAATATGGATGTTGTTAATATTGAAGCCACTTTTTTGATCAACCAGGTGCTTCACAATAAAAGTTGACTGGAGTAACACTCTTTATTCCTCATCCTACTTGTTAATTCTCTCAGAAATATAGATGTTCCATTTTCTTTATTTAATGCTAATTGTGCCCATTATCTAATTGGGCTTTGTTTGGGAAACACTCACTTCTAATTTAAACTTTGAATGTTAAATATTAAATTAAGAATCGACATCATAACACTCGGGACACTCCCAAAAGTGCTACTTCCTCCATCTTCAGCATCAGACGAAGAGTTTCGATGGCACCAGTAACTGTCTGTATATCTGTCTCGCCCTTCCCTTGAGTGTTGAGCATTGGCCAGACCCCTTGGTTCATCAATCAGCAAGTCCTTTACAGAATGTCGCTTTCTTCACGGCACACCTGAAAGTATCCCTTTTCCTAGCCAGCTCTCCTGTCCCCACCATGCTTAATGTGGCTAAAATACTTCAACTTTTGGGACAATGCTGTTTAATGCATCCTCAATGTCGTGTATCCATCTTCACGGTGGTCGACCCCTGCCTCGCCTTCCACAAACTTCTCCTTCCATCACCGTCTTTTTGGTAGAAAACAAGAAGTTTGTGACCATCTGCCAGATTAATGGAGGAACTAAACTACTTCAACCAGATGAAGCATTATAACACAGTTCTCAGTAATTATTGTGGATCGAGACAACCCTTTCATAGAAGACCACGAAAACTATGGACTAAGAAAATTAATTTTTATGCACAACAACATGAAGAACTTTAAAGGGTTTAATGAACCCCTGGCTAGCAGACTTCTCACTTCCTCTGTTTGAGGCAGTTCAGGACTAGAGAAGGAGGAGGAGCAGGAGGAGAAGAAGAAAAGACATTTATACGAAAGTGGAGGCTGTTTGGCAAAGCATCAGTCTGAGTACTTCAGTCAGAACAGAACTTTGTGGACTCAGAATACCCCTTTATTGTATACATCTTAGAGACTTTTGAAAGAAGAAGAAGAAGAGGAAGAAGACACATTTCTAAAACAATTTTTGAAAAGAAAGTGGAGGAAACAAAATTAAAAACAACAGATGAAGCATTATAACAGTTTCTCACCTTTATTTAATGAATCTCTTCTTCCTCTGTGAGGCACGAAGGCTGTTTGTAAAGCACATCTCTCTCTCTCTCTCTCTCTCTCCCTCTCTCTCTCTCTCTCTCTCTCTCTCTCCTCTCTCTCTCTCTCTCCCCCTCTCTCTCCCTCTCTCTCTCCCCCTCTCTCTCTCCCTCTCTCTCCCTCTCTCTCTCTCCCTCTCTCTCTCTCCCTCTCTCTCTCCCTCCCTCTCTCTCCCTCTCTCTCCTCCCTCTCTCTCTCCTCTCTCTCTCTCTCTCTCTCTCTCTCTCTCTCTCCCCTCTCTCTCTCTCTCTCTCCTCTCTCTCCTCTCTCTCTCTCTCTCTCTCTCTCTCTCTCTCTCTCTCTCTCTCTCTCTCTCTCTCTCTCTCTCTCTCTCTCCTGCATGAGAAATTGTGGGGTTTTGGTGTAGTTAGTTCTATTTATGACCTGTACCAGATTAAACATATAGCAAATAAACTTTTACTTAAGAGTAAAGAAAACTGTAAATATAAACCCATATTACTAGCACCCATCTTTGAAGAAATAGATTTGTACAAGATATATTTTTGTCTTCTTTTAACAGACTGGGTTTACAGTTTACTGAGCTGTCATTTGCTGAAATATCTTGTAAAGCCTGGAACTGTTTTGTAAAAAGGTAATTAGCTAATTAAGAGCTAATGTTATTTTTAACTCGTATAAGTAAAGTCAAGTAAAGATCCATTTCCATGCCTTTAGGCATTTAGGGCATATGGGAAGAGCGCCCATATTTTTACAGACCATCAGCACTCTGTGGGTAATGTGGTCAGCATTACGCCTACTGTCTTTACTTTCCAAGGACAGCCCATCCTGGTACCCATTTTAGGCTGGGTCGACCTGCGATGCCCCATACCATGATAAAAAATCCACGCAGCCAGCAGTGGGTTTCGATCGCGGTATGCTGGATTACGAGTCGGACTCGCAACGCCTAAGCCACGGACGCCTCCTTTAACTCGTATATGCATAATTTATTTTGTATGTGTTTGTTTTTCATTTAATTTTTGTGTCTATTTCTCTACTTTCCACATCTTTGTTTCTCAGATTAAGATGTTATGTTATGCTATCACAATCGACGTCTTTGCACTTTCAGCATCCCCATGTGTGCTCAGTCCTCCGATGCAGAAGTCTAACCAGGGTACCTCTACTGATTGTTTCCATGAAGAGTTGGTTATAGTATCTCCTGTCTTTACCTCGAAGGATCAGAAACAAGACTCCACTAACTCAGTTTCTGATGACTGAAATAGCCTCGACCTCTCATTCTAGTTGTTCTCCCACATCCCTCGCACTGACCGTTTCTCATGACTTGTGGCCACCCATGCAAAATCCACGCTGCCTCATAAAGTTGGTGTTTACTTCAGCTTGTCACTCATTCATACATATTTCTTAAGACCACCCATTCAACATAGTTTATGAAAATGAGATATGAAGGAGAAAATAACTCATTACAAAGCCTATTTTTGTACTTTTCCTTTTTTTCATGACTTTGTTCATGTTTGCCCAAGAATTTCGCTTATGGTGATTCTTTTCTTTATCTTTGTGTCACATATTTCATCACACATCACTGCCTATCCTTGATACTGAAAACAGTTGAATGACAGTGTCCAGTGTAGGATGAAATTGACCTTTTGTGAAATGAAATACATTTGTTTCCACTTCATTGACATTTTTTAGTGTAAATTTATTATCCAGCGCTTTTGGATTCTGTAGTATTTTTTTTAAAAAAAGGCTTTTTGAGTGTCACAGTTGCTGCTGTTGTTTGATTACAAGTATTTTATTGTTGTATTTTGTAAATACAGTTTAGAGATTCCACTTTTGGGGACTATGATGTCACAGATTATTGCAACCCTTCTGCCACTTCTCAAGATTTTACCAGTTCAGGTGGCCCAGATTTTCAACTACATGATTGTGGAAAACAAGTACGAATAACATGATTTATAAACTGTATTGTTGTAGATGGTGTAATGTAAGATGTGGAAACATGGACATGACCTGAGAGAGAAAACTTATTTCTTTCAGTCCCAAACAACTTTATTTGTTTTTCTTGATTATTCCAAAGGTAATATCATTTCCCAGCTGTCTTCTATCACAGAAGAAGGTTATATCAGTCTTTATTGTCTAGATTACTAATTCAGCTTCTTATCTTATGGCTCCTAGAGTCTATGTCGACTCCTTGGGGCTGCTTACTTTTTGCTTATAAGCTAAACACTTTAGGTAAATGATTTAAAGTAATGACGGCTTGCTTGGAATAGAAAGAGTTAAGCAATGTGCTGTGCCTGTGTGAATATACCATTCCTGATTCCTGGGGAGGTGTCTATTCAAAGGTGGAGCCTTTTAATAAATCAACTGTGTATTTAACTTTAGGAAGAGTCTTGTCAATAAGGGCTTCACAGATGTATAAGAGTGCACAAAGTTTCCTAACATCCATGAGATTTAGCAAAATGTTGCCTTCTTTCTGGGAGAAGTCCAAGTAGAAGGAACCCTTAGCTTTGCACAGCAGTCCATCTAGGAGATGGCAAACTCTGAATTTAAACCCCCAAGTTCAAGGTGGGCCAACGTGCTGAGGAACTGGATGGCCACGGGTGAGCTGGTCATGAACGTTGGACGTCTGTCGGGCGTGCGGGGCGGCACCAGGCATATGGACTCCTACGGGACATCCATTGCCCCTTCCCTAGCAGGCAGGAAATACTAGGGCGACATTGCCCCTTCCCTAGCAGGCAGGAAATACTAGGGCGACCGGTCATTTCCTGCAGTACTCTATTTTTGCGTAAGGATTTTAAAATATACATAAGAATCGTCGCCATAGCTAAAGGGCACGAGCTCTGCGCTTGACACATTATTCAGCGGTTAGTGAAGAGGGAGTGAGAAGGAGACGAGGAAATGGGAAGAGAAGAAGGCATATAAATAGGAGGGCGGGTGCTAGGAGAACAAGGCGAAAAGCGGAGAGATTGAGCTTTAATCATGTAAGAGTAGGATACTGGAACTGTTGGATTGCTAGGCAGAGAGGTCCTGTACTGGAGAGGTTGATTTTTGATTTTGATGTCATCATGCTCCAGGAGCTAAATACAGACAGATATCATTGCCCGGGGTACATCAGTTATATAAACCCTGTTGGACAGGAGAGACATGGACAAGGTCTAGTAGTAAAGGAGGAAGTGAAGCATGTGGTGCTTGACTTGAGCCAGTGGAACCACAGTGGACGAGAGGTTCAAGGGATACAGGTGGAAATTGGTGGCTTAAGTTGGAACCTCATAAATATATATGCCACGGTAGACTGTTTTGTCAGACGTGAACAATGGAGATGGCTCAAGGAATTGGAGGAGTTACCAGGTGATAGGTTACTCATATGTGGGGATTTCAATGAGAGGAACAGAGAATGGGACAGCAGTGGAGAAAACCGACAGGGAATAGCTCTTGCAGAGGCCATGATTGACTCCGATATGGTCTGCATCAATGATCGGAGGCCAACTAGAATGGCAATGAGGTCTGGAGATGCAGACACAGCCATTGACTTGACATTTGTCTCTCAGTCGTCGGTTTTAGATGTTAAATGGACTGTCCTGAATGACCATGTGAATGATCACCTACCATGTTCAGTCTTGATTTCTAAACTCAGTAAGGTTAAGGTTGGGAGAGCACACAAGACCTTCCAGTATAAATGGACCAACAACCTACTTGGATGCCTCAGACGGGGAGCATGCAAAAGAACTGCATGAACTAATTTTCTACAGCCCCCATGGTGGAGTCCAGAAGTCGAACAGGCATGGAAGGCAAAGAGAGCCGCAGTGAAGCAGCTAAAGAAAGTACGATAGACACCCTCAAGCTCACGAGAGGAAGTGGAAATGGCGGAGTATGTGAAGAAAGATAAGGTGGAGGTTTTCAAGCGCTGTGCTGCAGAGGCCAAAAGAACTTTGGAAACTTTTGTGAATGAATATGGGAGGCGATAAAACATAGGGGAAATTCTGGAAACTGCAAAGGCAGATGCAAAGAAAAGATCGGCCTATGACAGTCGGAACAATTTGTAGAGATAATGGTGTGCGTGTGACAACAGACAAGGAGATAGGGGAGGCTTTTCTCCATAGGTTTATAGCTCAGACAGATCATAATGATGTAGACATCAGGGATGCAGTTAGAAAGGAATTAGCTGGCACCTTGAAGAATATGCAGTATGAAGACATGATACAAGTGGAAGATATCAAACAAATTTTGAAAAAAGCAAAAGACACTGCACCAGGGCCTGATGGTGTCAGGTATGAAGGCTTTGAGCGATGTAGACCTGGCAGAGATGGCCGACTGTTTTAACCAGAGTATTAAGACAGCATCAGTACCGCATGACTGAGTGCACAGCTATCTAATCCCACTACCAAAACCTTTTAAAGATCATTCTAAGCTTAGTGGCTTTAGAATCATCACCTTATAAAACACATTTGGGAAGGTCTTGGAGAAGATAGTTGATGTAAAGTTACAAGCATTTTTGGAAAGGGGGAAGCTTCTCCCAAAAGGTCTGGGAAGTTACAGGCCAGGAAAGGACACTTGGGCAAATGCGGCCACTTTTGCTTTTGACGTCTATGAAGGGTTCCAGAACAGACAGGAAACTATGGCGGTAGGACTGGATCTCGAGGATGCTTATAACAGAGTGAGATACGACATCCTAAATACTGCACTGAGGGAGAAGGAGGTCAATCCATGGCTGGTGAATTGGGTTGCAGCTATACTGTATTCACGTCCGGTTGCTCTCTGACTGGTGCTCTTGGACTTCTGAACCATGCACTTTGGCCCCAGGACTGCCACAGGGATCCGCCATCTCGCCTGCACTCTTCAACGTGTTTACGAGCAATTTTGCAAGCCTAGAAGCACCAGGAGTTGGAAGGATCCTGACTTTTGCTGATGATTTACTTGCATATAGGCAGGGGGAAGAGAGGGAACAAACAGCTCGGGAGCTACAAGCGACAGTAGACAAAGTGACTGGTGTACAGAAATGAAGGCTGTCATCCACCCGGAAAAGGCGTTTGTTTTGCGGTGTTCTCTGGACAACAGAATCGTTAAAACTAATGTCCCAAGTCAAATGATAGATTGTAGAGACGTCAACAGAGAGAGCAAACTGAAGTATCTGGGAATTACATTTGACAGGAGCCTGTCATTTAAGGACCATGTGGAGAGTGTTGTGACGAGATGCCAAAAAGGACTTAGTGCACTTAAGACTATGGCTGCAATTGACATAGAGCAGAGAATGCTTTTCACACTATATCAGCACCTGATCCTGTCAGTGGTGGATTATGGCCTGGGACTGCTTACCGTCTCAAAGAGTCAGATAGACAAACTAGAGCGCATACAGAACGCGGCTATGCGGGTCATTCTGGGTTGCACCAGAGACACCCCAGTGGTGTGTATGCGATACATCCTTGGTTTGCCGACGGTTGCAGGTAGGCACAAGGTGATGCAGGCGAAGTCATATATCAGGGTAGCTGCAGACACAGACCACCCTCTGTATGAAGCTCTGGGTGCAGTTAAGGGTCAGCGGCTGGTAGGAGGGAGGTCATGGATGGCTCAGGCAGAAGACCCAATCAGACAGGTTTGCATCCTTGAGAACATTAGGCGAGGAGAGGAGTGGGTCAAAGTGCC